GGAGATGATTGGAATAAGCTACAAGACTACAATGATGAAATACAAAAAAGTTCAATGATTCATATTTTAACCCACTGTTACAAAAACTGAGTGGCCTATAAACTACACCCTTAATTATCCTGGACATAATCAAATTTTTTCTAAAAATGCCACTGAAGCCTCTCTACAGACACTAGTAAATCCCTTGTTAAGTAATAGTAAGGGCGTATCATGAGAGTCAACAATCACAGATATAAAGATGTCTACTTTCAGATATGGGACAATTATATGTGGTTAACTCTAACTATATGTCAACTTAGTAGAGAGGCCTCCTTATTTTGGGAACAAGGAAATCACTGTTATTCTCATTGGCCTAACTCTACTAAATACTTCAGATGGTCACCCCTTGAATAGTGTATACACATCATAACTTTACAAGTCAAAGACTAGTTTGCAATAGATTGGTTTAATCCCCTGAAATTATATGGGAAGTTTCCAGTGTCACTCATTGGTCCTGTGGAACCAATCTGTCACCCTGGTAACCCCCTGGATGGATAGGGAAATGCACATTGGGATTTGCATGGTTACAAGGCAGGAGTGTCGAAAATATCAACAAACCTGCAAACTTACCCCGTCTATGACAATGATGGTCTAGAAATGTGCTTCATTGGTATGATCATTTGGCTTCTGTCTTTGTCCTTTCCCTAGGATTAGAAGATGTCTTGCAACACATCGAGGCCTTAAGTAACTGTACTCAACAAGCTTTAAATGGCATCTCAACTAGTCTCCCTTTCCTAAATGAAGAAGTAAAATTAATGAGACAAGCTGTTCTCCAAAATCAGATGGCATTAGACATTCTAACAGCAGCTCGGGGGATACCTGTAAAAGCAATTGTAAAAGCTAAATGTTGTGTGTACATTCCTGATACTTCTACTAATATCTCAATGGCTGTTCAAGATATTAAATGACAGGTTAAGACCATGTCAGATTCTGAATTTCCCTGGACCTTCACCTTACCCTCTTTGTTGGAGCCTATTACTGGCTTTTCCTGGTGAAAACATTTGTTGGTTGTATTCATAATAGTCTTGTTGATTTTTTGACCCATGCATACTTAACTGTTTCTTTGGCCTTGACTTCTCCAAACTTAAAGCTGTATGCTTATCCAGCATGAGAATGCCGGATGTCTATTGAGGACCTTTAGATAAACCCTCTGGAGAGTGTCTCTGACTGTCAGTCACAACTATGACCCCCATTATCCTGAAGTAGCCAGAATGGTCATTATCCCTAACCCCTTCAAGACAGTTAGGGATACTTCTTCAGAGGGGGAATTATTATAGACAGCTAAGCTCGGTAGAAATATTATAGGCAGTCAGACAGGGCTAGGCCCTCAAGAGAGTCAGGACAAAGGTAAAAACACATTACAATTATGGTCAGAGGCACATCTGTTGGACCTGAGACCTCAAGATAAAGATAAAATAACCAGGCCTAAGATAAATGGTAACACCTGGTCTAATGAAGTATAGATGGACATCAGTCACCTTGGTGGGTGACCAAGACCCTTGGACTGATCTTTTCTCGAAAAGTTCTTTGTTCCTTCCATGTACACTTGCTACATGACTTGCTTTCCCATTGGATCAATGTTACCTAGGTGATTATACTTATAATCTTATTGGTTGATCATAGCTGTAACCCACATTGTACTCTCGTGGTACAATTTAGGAGATAAGTATTTCCTACTCTTAAATCCATTGTTCCTTAGAATTCATTCTTCAATTTTGGGGAACAAGAACTCAGTGTGTCTGACATCTAACAAGTTGGAAGTTACAATATTTTCCCTATATCATTTGGAGTTCCTATATCAGTATTACCCACCTAAAAACTTTCCAACAGGCCCTACAAAAATAGAGAGAAGACTCTTTCACTCCCAGAGACTAGCAATAATTGTCAACCCAAAGTCTGCTCTGGTGACCAGGCCCTAATCAAGACCTAAAAAGAGGATAGAGCTCAAGACCAACTTTTATCCAAATAAAAAGGCCCTTTCATCACCCTACTAACCACTCCTTCTACCATTAAGATACCAAAATTAGATAGTTAGATTTACCTTTCCAGGACAAAACTCAAACCATCTGAGATACAAAAAGACCACAAACTTCATATACCTGTAAACCAATAAAGCTCAAGTTTCTTTAAAAAAAAAACTCTATATATCAAAGAAATAAAAGTTACTCCTTCTAAAGAAATTATATAAATATACTACCACACTTAAGGCTTTTGTTCCAAGTTATAGCATAATAACTTTTAGGTCTTTTCTGTTTCCTTTGATACCATTCTACATTATTTTTAAAACTGTCTCTAATAGAAATAATAAACAGGGGCCGGGGATTTAGCTCAGTGGTGCCACACCTGTCTTGCAAGTGCAATGTCCTGAGTTCGATCCCCAGTACCACAAAAAAAAGAAAGGAAGAAATAATAAACAATAACTACCTACATGAGACCTTAAAACTAATCGCATCTTTCTCCTATCATCAGTTGATAAACTTAAAATTTAAAAGACAGCCTAGACAAACTTGTCTAGAATATTACCTTTTTTCAAGACCAGATAGACTCAATGACAGCAGTGGTCATACAACATCAGAGGGGACTAGATCTCCTAACAGCTAAAACAAAGGGGCTATGTTTGTCCCTAAATAAACAATGTACTTCCTTTGTCCATAGGTCTAAAATAACAAGAGACATGACAAAAATGGCTAGCCATGCTTCCAAGATCCATTAAAAACTATTTAAGTCATAGATATCCCAACCAAATATCTAAAATTGAAGGTCTTGGTTACTCTCCTAGACATGGCCCTCATTAATACTTCTCATACCATTACTATTTAGATCTTATATACTTAATCTCTTAAATCTGTTTCTTCTTGTTTGACAGCCATCAAACTGATACAGGGATGATATAGGAGATGAAATAAGACCTCCAAATGATATACAGGAAATATTATAATTCCCAACCTGTTAGATCTCTGATATGCTGAGTTCATGTTCTCTAAAATTCAAGAATGAATTCTAGGAACAACAGAGGTTAACTGTGGGAAATATGTATTGGGAGGATAGCACCTGAGTGCCAGGAGGGGTCCTAAATGGGTGACCAAGGATCTCACTTTACCGGGAAGTTTTATAGAGCAAAAACCACATGGGAACAATGTGGATTAAAGCTAAGATCAACCAATAAGGTTACAAGTAGAGTCGCTTAGGTAATAGTGATCCAATTGGGGAACAAATCACCTACCAAGTGTGCATGGAAAGAACAAAGACTTTTTCTAGAAAGTGATGGGTCTGGAGGGCTTGGTCACCCACTGGAGAGACTGACATCTATCTGGACTGCATTAGGCCAGGTGTTACCCCTTGTTTTGTCCTTTGGGGAAGTATGCAGGCCTGGTCATTTCATCTTTATCTTGAGGCCTGGTCTCCAACGAATGTGTCCCTGGCCTCAGTTGTAATGTGTTTTACCTTTGTCCTGACTCTCTTGAGGACATAGCCCTATCTATAATATCAATACCTAAAGTTTATTTTTACCAAAGAGATGCAATCTATTATGATAAAGTATTGCAGAATAAACTTTGTTTTATAACAAAAAAAATCTCTACCTAACTTAGCTATCTATAATGTCACTTAAAACACAAAGCATTGGCCAAGGATTACGTTTTACTCAATCCTAAACATGTCTGGCATTAATAGTTTCATAGTTTACAAAGACAATAACAAATGCAAAATATCATGGAGAAATTTTCTTAGAGGATTGGGACTGGAACTGATAAAAGATCAACTACAAGAGAGAAAGAACAGAGAGAAGAAAATAAAAGGTTTTAAACACAGAGAGAGAGGAAGAACAAAATGTTTCTGCCCAAGGAACTACTCAAAAGAATTCTGGAGCAGACTGGTGAAGAGAAAGGTTGAATAGGCAGGTTGCAAGGTCACAAAGACCTACTAGGACAATAGGAAATCCAAAAAGATGTCCACCTTGCCCTATAAAAAAGGGACAGGAAAACAAAATATACATATATGTACTAGCAGTGCTATCAGTGAAAGCAATACTTGTGTATAGAACATGCAGTTCTCATGTGTGAAGACTGTCTTGGGTGAGACAGCCTCCCTCCTAGGGTGAAGCAAAGATTATTTCTGTGGTAGACTTTTGTTTGTATTTTCATTGTAATTCACATAAGAATTTATTTCTGCTGTTATTTTTTTGGTTTAGGTAAACAGTTTACATTGAAAATGTTGGAGCTGGAGATTTAGCTCAGTGGTGCCCCGCTTACCTGGCAAGCACAAGGTCCTGAGTTTGATCTCTGGTCCCAAAAAGAAAAAAAGAAAATGTTGATGTGTATTCTAAATACTCATTACATATTAAAATTTTAATTTTTTATTTTATTGATATTTTATTTTCTTGTAAAGCACACATTATTATAATAAAACTCAAAATTAAAATTAATAATTCAGGGGCCAGGGATTTAGCTCAGTGGTTTCACTGCCTGCTGCGCAAATGCAAGGACCCGACTTCGATACCTGGTACCAAAATAAATTTAAAAATAAAATTAAATAAATAAATAAATAAAATTAATAATTCATCTGGGACAGAGATTTAGCTCAGTGGTTCTGCACCTGCCCCGCAAGCACAAGGACCCGAGTTCGATCCCCAGTATAAAAAAAAAATTAATAATTCATCAATAGAAATACTTCTAAAAAATAAATGTGGTCGTTATACGTCCCCCATAATGAGCCTTTCAAACTGAGATTTGCTATGAAAGGGCTAGGGATGTAGCTCAGTGGCACTGCGCCTGCCTGGCAAGCACAAAGTCCAGAGTTCAATCCCCTGTACAGCAAAAAAAAAAAAGATTTGCCATGAAAAATACCAAATGCTCCCCTTGCTGGACAACACCTCAGGCTTGGGCTGAGCTCACAACCTGCTGTCAGACTTTTTCTCCAAGGTCTGGACCTAGTGAAGTGGGTTGATGGCCCTTTAAAAGGCAGTAACTACAATGGTTTAGGGTTGCCATGGAGACAGATGGACACAGAGGGCCTGCAGCGGACAACATGTCCTCCAAAGTTCACTCCGAAGGTGAGAAGAAAGCTCTTAGGGTGGAAAAGGGGTGGGAGCTCTTCTTCCCCACAATCCCTGGGGGTGGTCTTGATGTATTGAGCTCTTGGGGCCAGGGGCCAGGACGGAGATACCCCTCTCTACCCCTGTCCTCCTTCCCTTAACTTCTCTTCCCTCTGTAGGCCCCATAACCAAGGACCACCTGCCCTCAAGCCAGGTGCATCCCCCAAGGCCAGAGGCCAATGCTGAAGCTGTCAACTTCCTCAGCTCCCTGAGTGAGCCACAAGGTGGAGGGCGGAGGGTCGCAAGTCCCAAGAGGAAACAGAAGGCCCAGATGGGCCCATCTCTCCCAAGACTGAGAAAAGTCCAAGGCCTATTGTTGCTATTCTTCCAGGGAAGACCACGGCCACGGGAAAGAGGAATCTTTACCCACTGCACCCGGGTGCCAGGGAGGGGAGGCGGGCCACTGGGAAATGCATGGGGGGCTGGGCCCAGAGGAGGGGCTTATTATCTGTCCCCGCCCCACCCCAGGGCTGGAGGAGCTGCAAAAGCTGTTCTTCTCCGAGACTCTGGTCATGGTCTTGGACACCGGGGACCCTCAGGGAGAGCTGACGATCGAGGTACAGAGTGAGAAGTACAAGGACCAGCAGGGCCTCATGTCCCACTGCCTCTTCGTGCACGCCAGGAGCCATGGTGTCTTGGATAAAACCATCTGTGGAAACTCCATCCTGGGTAGAATTTGGGCTTCCTGCTGCCCGTCACTCTGTCTCCTCCATTCCCAGGGTCTCTGATCCCAGGATCCTGTCTTTTGACTTGTCTGGGCCAGGATGAGACACAGGGGAGGTAGGACAGGGAGATCATTCACAGCCAAAGATCCAGCGATGCCAGCGTTTGCCTCCCACACTCTAGGTTATCTCTCGTGGAAACTGGAGCCCTTAGAACAACACAGTCATGAGTTCATCAAGGTACCTCCTAGGGGTCCCCAAGCCTTGCTCCTGAGTCAGGGTAAGAGATCATCGGTCCTGTGAACAACAGAGGGAGGGGACCCAATGTCTCCTGTCACTCTGCCACACCACCACTCACAACTTGAGAATCCATCCATCTGGGACACTGAACTCAGCAGCAATTGCTACTACAGATGTTCTCCTGATGCACAAGCTGAGCCCAGTCCTCCTCCAGCCCCAGCCTGAGAACCTGGCATCTCCCTGAGGGCCCTGTTGCTGGCTTTTCCCAGAGCCTAGCTGCTCCCTCAGGGCCTATCACTATTCCGCTCCACATCCCTTGACCCCAGCCCTGGCCTCTTCACTAACTTCTGGAATATGGCCTTAATCAGTCTACGCACTGGAAACCACTTGTGCCTAAGAATCTTCCCAGAGTCTATGCTCATCTTTGAAACTTGTGTCCTGAGCAACACTCATTTTAGCTTCAAATTATACCATCATATGGCCAAGCTTTGTGGTGTATAGAAGGCTTTCTTGGTTGGCTGCTGTCTTTTAAATCACAACCTTCAAAGCTCAGGACTGAGGAGGTGGCTCAGTGGTAGAGCATTTGCCTGGCATGCCCAAGGCCTTGGCTTCCATCCTCAGCACTGTAAAAACAAAACAAAAAACCTTTAAACCTCAGCATTATCCTCCAGTGAGTCCATGATTTTCCCCTGCATCCTCTGCCCCCAGTTCCCTGTCCTCCCCATGGAGCGGAAGACAAGTTTGCTGAAAAAGGGTGACCAGCTGACCATGACCAGAAGCATCAGGGAGGGTGAGGTAAGGGCAATGGCCAGGTGGGAACTGCTGTCACATCCTCCTCCAGACCACAGGCAGGGACCGGGTTGGGTGAGGCTGGGGCCAGGAGCCTGGACCAAGAACTCCCTAAAGGACCATATGCCCCACACTCAGCTTGCCCACCCTCCTGCATCCAGTCTGAAGTCCCTCACGTAGATCTTTCCTAAACAGGAAGTGAAGACCAGCAAGACTTCTTTCCCCTGGGACTCAAATGAGGGCTTCATCTCCGAGGCTGCCAACCTGGTGCTGCTGCGGGTGATGGCCTGGCGGCAGATGGTGCCCAGCAAGGCCCGCTTCCTGGCCCTGGACACTGAGGGCAAACTCTGCTGTTCCACCTATGTATGAGGTCTCCCTGTGCGGGGAACTTGGCCTGGGTGCAAAGGGAAATGATGGTTGCTGAGATGGGAGAGAAGACAGCTGTGGAGCAGAAGGGGAGTCAGGGTGGGAGAAACCAAGAAAATCTGTCAGAGAGAAGATCAAGTGTGGGGCCAGTGGAATGAATGGGAACAGTTGAGCAAAGCAACCCTTTTTGCACAAGTTAATCCATGAAAAATAAACATAGTGAAGGGCTGCTTTGGAACAGACATAGCTAGCACAGGCTTCACACATGCTAGTGCTGCACCACTTAGTTATATCTCCACCCCCTTTCATTTTTATTTATTTATTATTTTGGGGTTTTTTTTGAGATAGGGTCTTGCTATGTAGCCCAGGCTTGCCTGGAACTCCCTTCGATCCTCCTGCCTCAGCCTCCCAAGTGCTGGGATTACTGGCATGCACCACCATGCCTGGCTTGATTTGTCTTTCTTTCACTGACCTTGTAAATTACATTCTAGACTTGTCCATCACAAACACAACCAACAGCACTGTGTTGACACAAACAAGCACATGCCATTTCCCCCCATTTTCTTGAAAACATCTGTTCAGTGTTAGGTCTTTTCTTTCCATTAATTCTCCATTTAATTGTGACAGCAGCAACACAGGTCTGAGGCTACCACAAACCTCAGTCCAATCTCACCTTTCAAAGCCTCACTACCTTCCCCAACCGGCGCCAATAACTTGTCCCCCCACCATCCCTCCTCATACTGACCCTCATTCCTGTAAGACAATCTAGAAGCACCTGGTCACTGAGATGCCCTGGGGAGGGGCTGGGGATTTAGCTCAGGGGTTCTGCCACCTGCCTCACATGCAGAAGGGCCTGAGTTCAATCCCTGGTACCAACAAAACAAAACAAAACAAAACAATAAAACTTGTAGGAGATGCCGTGGGGAGGAGGAGGGCAGAACAAGCTGGAGCTGGCCGGTGGTGAGGGGTCCCCAACTTAGCTTGAGGATGTGGCTCAAAACGTATGGCACCTGCAAGTCTGGACAGCCAAGGGCTGCTTATCACTGGTAAATAAGGAATGAAGACCAAGGAGGAAGAGGCGGAAGAGAAAGAAGAGGAGGGGTTGGAGGAGGAGGGGGAAAAAGAGTGAGGAGAAGGGGGAGGAAAGGTCCAGGCTGAAATAGGGGTGACCTTGGTGTTCCCCACCTCAGCATACTCCCTCCATTTTGTGGCTGCAGCGAGCCCTAGGCTTCCAGGTGATCCAGGTGGGCCACCAGCAAGCCCAAGTATTCATTGTGGAGCAGACCATGCACTCGGAGGAGGGCATTCCCACGTCCTGTCAGTTCTACCTGCTTTCTGATGGGTGAGCCACTGTACGTGTTATGGGGGTGGCACCCAGGACTGTGTTCGTCAGCTTTCCATTGTTATGACAGAATACTTGAGAACATCAGCTTAAAGGAGGAAGGGGTTGTCTTGGTTCATGGTTTCAGAGGTTTCAGTTCATGGTCACTGGGCTCCATTGCTTTTAGACCATTGTGAAGAAGAAACATGGTGAAAGGGCATGGCAGAGGAAAGATGCTCACCTCATGGCAAATGGGAAGCAGAGAGGAAAAAAGCCAGAAAAGAAGGGATGAGGGAATAGATATACCTTAAATGGCACTTCCCCTTGACCCACTTCCTGCAGCCAGACCTTACCTCCTAACAACCCATTTATCTATGAACTCATCATCAATGGGTTAGTCCATTCATGAGGTTAGGTTAGCGTTCTCAGGATCAGGCCCTCAATACTTGAATCTTTAGGGCACCAAGATATTTATATTTAAGCCATAACAGGGACCAAGGGGACAGTGTGATGTCCAAATACAGGAGCTTACCGATGGGGAAGGGGCATGGCACAAAAGGGAGACTGGCTGATCCTAGGGATACCACCAGGAAGAGTTGCAGTTGAGACCTAAGTGTTCCCTACCTCACCCATATCATTCAACTCTTCTTCGAAGATTCACTGGCTCCTTGAGAGCCTTCCACACTTTTTCACCAGACAACCCTGCCTGGCTGAGGAAGTACCTGGCAACCCCACAAGGCCTAGGATGCAGCAGAAGCAGCACCCGGGCTAGGGAAGTACTGAAAACACCAAGGTTCCAATGACTGAACACCTGACCAAGCCGATGTGCCAGAGCACTGCCCCGGAACCCAGCCAAGCTGTCACCAGCACTGTCCTGGCACCAAACGAGGAGAAATGCCAGTGAGGAAGAATAATTTCTTTTTCAAAATTTCAGAAGAGGTATCAATCCAGATACTGCACTGGAAGACGAAGGAACAAGAATGTTGTTGGCTTTTTTTGGTTCATAACCTGGCATATTGTTACTAGTTTGAGTGTCACATAGCAGGAGGCCATGATTTTTCAAGTCCTTACATCTGTGAAGGTCTCAGCACTTTTTTTATTTACTCTTTTATTTATTTATTTATTTTAAAGCAGGGGCCTGATGCTTGCCAAGCCCTGTGTCGTTATCTGGAATATGACTCAGGAACTCAAAAGAGGGGGAGGTTGGGCCGGGGATTTAGCTCAGTGGTTTCGCCGCCTGCGCGATCCCGGTACCAAAAAAAAAAAAAAAAAAGAGGGGAAGCAGAAGTAAGCAGAAGCCTCCAGGACAGCCCTTAAGGGGGCGCTGTGGTCTTAGCGTCCCCAAATCTTCATTTGATCTTAGCCAAAAGGCCGAGAAGCGTTAGCTGAGCTCTTAAATAACAGCAATTTGCTTCCTCAGAGTTGTAGGGGCTGGAAGTCCGAGGTCAAAGTATCAGCAGGATTGGTTTCTGGGGTGCCCTCTCTTTTTAGACAGCCACCTCCTGCCTGTGTCCTCATGTGGTCTTGGTTAGAGAGCTCTCTAAGCATCTCTCCTTATAAGGGTGCCAACCCACCTAATTAGGACCCCATCTTTGAGTCCTCAGTTAACCTAAATTCCCTCCTTAAAGGCCTATCTCCACAGTGAGGGTTAGGGTTTGGCACCGTCCCTAACCTGCGGCAGAGGAAGGCTCACTCTCCCCTCTTCCCCGTTGTTCTCCAGGCACCTGGCGAAGAGAGTCCAGGTGGGCTCCCCGGGGTGCTGCGTCATCACCAAGATGCCCATCTTAAGAGAGGAGGGTGAGTGCAGCCCAGGCCTGAGTTAGCTGCTGGGAGGTGAAAGCCAAGGGAGTCCTGGGCCCTGGGTTTAGGCAGGACCGAGTGTGCTGTGGATGCCCAGGACCTGGGAGGAGACCAGGGGCTGCCCACCAGCCCTGACCCCGAGGCAGACAGGGGTGGACTCTTTTGCTAGGAATCCCTTCCAACAACTCGGTCCGGGTGGGCAGAATCCTGAGGTTTGACACGAGTCTGTGCCTTTTGCTTGGGCGTTCTGGGACCTCTGTATCGAGGAAGGTTCTGGGGTGCAGGGTTAAGCAGTATTCCTCCTTCTCCACGCAGATGAGATTGAGCCTTCGCCCGTGTTCCACAAGAAGCCCATGGTGTGGGAGGAGGACATGGAGCTCTACTCCAAGTTCCTGGACCGGAAGGTGGGGGGGGGGCTGCGGCCAGCCTGGAGTCCCCGTTTCCTCCCTACTCATCTCTGTGCCTGACTGCAATGCATATCGGGAGGAGGGGGTGCTAGGAGCGAGGGAGGGGCTCCGGGGCTGCGGGTCCAGTCCCTAGGGCTGGCTCGGGACCGCGCAGTGCCCCCCAGGAGCAGCTCCGGCTCCACCACGCCAGCTACCTACGGCAGCACCCTGAAGCCCAGGCGCTCGTCTCCGACTTCCTGCTCTTCCTGCTGGTGCGCCAACCCCAGGACGCAGTCACTTTCGCCGCAGAGTTCTTCGGCTTCTTCTCCGCCAAGTGCTCGCCGTCCCCGAGCTTGCGCTCCTCCCACCCCCTCAGCCCTTTCCGCCCGCTGGACCCCGAGGACGGCGCCGACTCGGGGGCGGGCTAGGTGGCCCAAGCACCTGCAGAAAAGGGGGCGCCCAGAGGGGGCGCACATCCCGGCCGCGGCCCTGCTGAGCTGTCCCTGACCGGCCTCTTGTATCTTGAGTCAAAAAATACACCAAATAGGAACTGTTAACTTATCGAGCGAGTTTCGGTCTTTTTTCCTAGCTGCTCGTTTCGTCATTAGCCTCATTTTACAGAAACAGAAGCCTTAGAGTTGGCACACTGGGACTCGAACACTCTGAGTCACCTGCTAGCGCGGAGAGAGGGCGGGGCCTTGGCACTCAGAGTCAGCACCGATTTCTTTAAGCATTTTTGTCCCCGCCCCAAGAAAAACAATAGGGCTAGGCCGGGGACTTAGCTCAGTGGTTTCGATGCCTGCTGCGCAAGCTCAAGGACCACCCCCGGTACCAAAAAAAAAAAAACAACAAAAAAAAACTAGTTCGAAAAACAATAAGGGGAAGGACAGGCGCGAACACCTAGGCCTTGCTCCGCACCTTTGCACCCAGGTCCTCCGTTCCCCTGAAACTCAGAAACCCCCCAAGCTGCGCAGTGTGCCCCCAGTCACCGGCTTCCGTAGAAAAGTGGTGTACAAGTGACTATCACCTCCTTTAGGTCCCTGCTTGATGTCAATGCTGACCAGTGGCTTGTGTCTGCCTCATGCTCCCCTGAGATGGCTGGTAAAGGGGCACAGGCTCTGCCTCTCCATCCATGCATTCATGCGACTTGCTGCCATGAGGAGTAGACTCCAGAGGTTTGAATTCTAGTGGACATGAGCTATAGCCACTAGGCTGGGGTGTGAGAGGTGTCTTTGACCCAGGAAAGGACCCAAGGAAGTCTTCCTGGAGTATTATCTGGAGTTGAGAATTTTAAAAATAAATATTGTATTGTCCCTCTTCC